CCGGTTCTGTGGGCGTGGCTTGGTGGGCATGGCTTGGCTTGGTGGGCATGGCAGGGGAAGGATACTGCAAGATCTCCATTTCCTCCCCACTCCTGGGAGAAGGATATTGCAAAATCTCCATTTCCACCCCACTCTGGGGCCAGCCAGAGGTGATATTTGCCGGTTCTCCGAACTACTCAAAATTTCCATTACTGGTTCTCCAGAACCTGTCAGAACCTGCTGGATTTCACCTCTGGATCAATCCTCAAATTTTTCTTGGCAGGCTGAAATTATTGAAGCAAAATAGATTATCAGCAACTGATCTAACCACAATCAATGGCCGTGGACATGTTTGGCTGATCCTATCCTTTTTGATCAGGTCAGTGACTCAAATATTGTCTGTCTGTCTAATCTATCAATTGATTTCTTTCTGGTTAATCCATTGGCATAGACATAACAAACCACATTTTGTCACTATTGTGGCAGCAGATGAAGTTTCCCATCTGAAAAATATGTAAGCTGATGTAAGATCTGAAAGAACGTCAGAAAGACATGGGCTAAATGTCTGTGATAGAAAATGTCTGGTTACTGCAGGGAATAATTCAACACAAGAAAACTAATGTCAGTCTTGGGAATAGCCTTTGGGAGCTTGTTCCGGAAAGTCCTTGCATGACAGACAAGACAGAATCACAGCAGGCGGGCAAAATCGGGGGCTAACTTTTCCAAGCCAAGATCAGAAATATTTACTAGATGAGTAGAGATTCAGAGTCCTTCTCCTTCTCTCTCTCCCCCCCACCAACTTAGGGAAGTAAGTCATGTTCATTAAGGTTACTAAACATTGTCCCAATCCTAAATTTCAAATCCTTCAAAACCAGAAGGCAGATGATGAGAATTTAAGGAGGGGAAACGCAAGGCAAGCACTTTGCAATTCCATTTGTTTTGGGAGGAGAATCAATACTTGCCTAAATTAAATTAAATTAGTCTATTGGAAAGAGGATAAGGCTTCAGCTTAAGCCTCTGTTGCTGAAAAACCGGTGGCCCATGAAAGTGTTTCTTGGATCATACCCACTGTATTTTCAAACATTGTGATTTTGGGAAGAGTAGCAGAAGGATTGTGTTTGCTTTGAAAATGACCTGTAAGAAGTGCTTTGAACCTCAAATGAACCTTTCCGTTTTTTCCCTGGAGCGTGATACCTCTCCTTAAGCTTCCATAGGAGTCTGAAAACGGACACTCCTGCTTAAAGAAATAGTATTATTTATTAAACAAGCATGTCTTTAAAACAAGTGAATTATTTCTGAAGTATGGATGGAGCAAGGTAACACCGATGGGCAATCTGGCAAAGTAGATTCCTATTTGCCATCAAATTTTTTTCTCTCAGTTTATTCAGAAAGGCTAGTTTATATTCAATATCAAAAAGTAAATTTATTTCAGTTGAAATAAAATTATTCCTAGTGAGGAATAGTCTCTGTTAGAGATGTTATTGTTCCCAAGTTAAGGGAAACAAGAAGCAGAAAAATATATATGGCCTTTTCTGGCTTCTGGGTCCATCAATGATGTCAAAAAGAGCAATGAGAAAATAAAAATAAAGAAGAATATTTAATTTTCCTTCTCATCTCTGAGAAATATATGCCAGAGAGATGAAACTGAAACGGTTTTTTTTTTAAGAAAAAACCCAGGTTTAAATAGATTTGAAGCCATCTTGAACTTTTTACCTTGCTGTTTTGAAGCCTAGCAATATGGTATAAATTTCAAGCAAATCAAATACTTGCGCTCATTTTCACTCTCAGATATATTTCTTCTAATAAATTCTCACGTTTTAGAGGAAATGTTAACTTTTTTTTTCCCCCCCTCAAACATTTATCACTAAGAGCCTTTCCCTAGCAAATGATCCTTTCTCTAGAAGAAAACTTCTCAACCTAGGCAAGTTGCGTGGACTTCAACTCCAAGAATTCCCCAGCCAGCAGAGCTATAAATTAGAAGTTGAAGAAAGAGTCTGCATTCTTTTCAACAAGAAGGTGAGGAACAATTCCAGCGGTACAAATTTCCACAAAGACACTGAAGTTTCAATTTCTTTTTTTTTTTTCTTTTTTTTTTTTAAATCCTTTTAAAGTTTCAATTTAAAATGCTGGCTGGGGAATTCTGGAGTTGAAGTCCACATGTCTTAAAAAGTTGCCAACGTTGGACATCCTTTCATTGAGGGCAGTGGTGAAATCTAAAATTTGTTACTACCGGTTCTGTGGGCGTGGCTTGGGGGGGGTAATGTGACTGGGTGGGCGTGGTCAATTTTTTTTTTTTACTTTTAAAACCATTTTTTCTACAACCTCTTCTGTGAAGAGGTTGTAAAAAAATGCTTTCAAAAGGCTCTGACGATCCCAGCTGAGTTGCCTGATCGGCAGAGGCTTTTTTTCTTTTAAATACCTCTGACGATGAGGCAGCTCAGCTGGGATCGTCAGAGGCTTTTAAAAGCATTTTTTCTACAACCTCTTCAGAGCTGAGCCGCGCGATCATCAGAGGCTTTTTTTTTACTTTTAAAAGCATTTTTTCGTCCAAAGAGATTGTAGAAAAAATGCTTTTAAAAGTAAAAAAAAAGCCTCCGATGATTGTGCGGCTCAGCTGGGCATGTGGGGGGGGGAGGGATTTTTGCTACTGGTTCTCCGAACCATCCACCATTACCGGATCGGGCGATCCGGTCCGAACCGGAAGCATTTCACCCCTGATTGAGGGCCACATCAGGGTTCTGTTTGACCTCGGGGGGCCCAGAGTGGGCGTGGCCAGCTTGACAACACTCCTGTCAGGGAAAGCGGTACAATTCCAGCAACAGAATAATTTCCCACTTAGAATCAATTGATTTCTATGTCCCTGAATCCTTCCTGGGATTCAGTGGGGAATTAGGCCTTTAAAGTGGTAATGGAAAAGCTTGCAACACTGTTTACAAAATGGCCTGCTGATTGGAACCAGTCACTATACATACATCCTATGTTTCTTTGCTACATAATTTTTTTCCTTTCCTCTGCATCTGCACACCAAAGAAAGCATCCACAGCTGTATTTCTGCAGATGACAAACTGCCCATTGTGTTTGTAGGCTGCACCATCTTGAATTTTGTGCAAGAGATCACAGCTACTGTGAATATTTCAACTCATTTTTTAAACATGAAGTTCTTGTGCTTTTGGTCAAAGTTAGGCTTAGAAACACATGGCCCTATGGATTCCAGATTCCTGACAAAGTGGCAAAGTTTGAGTAAAATTTCAGAATCAGTATCCATTCTTGTCTTTTTCCGTTACCAGCTGAGAGAAAATGGACTCCTTTTTTGCATAGCATGCACAAACATTTGGCCTATTTTTCTAGAGGTGAAAAGTGTTGGATGCAAGTCTGATTCAACAGAAAATTGCTGATAATCAGAAGTATTAAAACTGACAAATTTCCCATCTTGAAGTAGATGCTACATCTAAAGATTGTCACAGAATTTGAATTTTTTTCACATTGTACTTGCAAACTGATGAGAAATAGGGAAGAATTACTGTATTTTTCAGAGTATAAAACGCACCTTTCCCCCCCTAAAAGGGTGTGAAAATTCGGGTGTGTCTTATACATGAAATGTAGCCCCGCCCACCCACTGGCCCCCACCCTTTGGCCTCTGCCTCCCAGTAGTTTACCTCCTTGCAGCAAGCAGCAAGAAGGAACAGCTCCTTTCAGTTTCAGCACAGCCTAATTAGCACAAGTTGATTGGATTGGCCTCCTGACTCTCAGCTGTTTTGCTCTCAGCTGTTTTGCGGGGGCCTCTGCTGCTTGCTGCAAGGAGGTAAGTCGCTGGAGCAGATTTTTTTTTCCTTGTGCTAATCAAGCTATGCTGAAAACGAAAATGAAAGTAAAACAGGCTGTTTGCTGTTTGCTGCAATGAGGCGAAATTGCTGGGAGGCAGAGGCAGATTTCTTTTTCTTGTTTTTCTCACCAAAAAAGGTAGGTGCCTCTTATAGTCCGGTGCATCTTATACTCCGAAAAATAAGGTATCCATCTTTTCCACAAACCCAAGATAACCAACTCTACTCCTGCGGCATCCTTTTCCTTACGATTTACTCCCAGGAGCCTTCCATGTTTGCCTTCAAGTTCATTCTACTCAACCATTTCTCATTTGTGTTATAAATTCCTTTCCATCATAATACATACTGAGCATTATGGGAGAAATCATGAGCTTATTTCCGAAAAGTAATTATTCATAACCATACTTACCAATATGAAGTTTTTCTCCAAACTTGTTGACTAGGAAAAGAGAGGTGGTCAACTTACATTCAGCTGGTAAGAATTAAAAAGGTTCTCTCTTTTTTTGTTATTTTGGGGTTTTTTGGGTGCAAATGGCTAAAGGCAATACTTTTTAAGATCACCTGATGCTTGGGAGATGTTTGCTTGGTGAATTTAATCAATGGTGGGTTTCAAATTTTTTTACTACCAGTTCTGTGGGTAGTACAGAACGGGAGGAAGCAAAAGGAAGAGGGCATCACCCTTCATCTCCTACTTGGACACACCCAAGAGGCATTTAGTTTGCCCCTGTGAAAAATAAAATGCTAGACAAAGACAATCTTTAGCATTATCCATCAAGGCTATTCTTACGTTCTTGGTCTTTGCAGTTTTCCAAATGGAAAAGCTAATGAAAGCTGAGTCTATTTAAAACTACTCTGCCAATGTCATAAATCCAGGCAGCAGAGAGCAAAAGATTGTATTCACTTACAATTTCCAGAGTTTATGCAAAAGCCTATCACAAACCATACAGCTGTTTTCTTCTCCATCATATATGCCTAGTAAATATTCTATTCACATCTGGGCGTATTTATTTTTAAATTACTTATTCAGTTAGACTTGGTATGCATTACTAGTGAACCTAGGCTTAATAATGGATGCTCACTTAGGCAACTCCATCCTGATTCTGTTCTCAATCATGTCAGCTTATTATTTCCTATTTCTACATTCTTTCATATAAATAAATAAATAAATAATAAAGGGAAAAAAAACAACAAGACTACCAGTTTAAAATCTTTTCAATACTTGTTATATTATAACACACACACCAGTTCCCAGATTTACATTATATTGTACCGTGTTTTGGAATTAACCATTTTTCCCCCCAAAGATTAAATCTTGACCAATGGGGTAGAAATGCATTTCCAATGCAAGCTCTAAAATTGAAAAGAGATGAGTGCATTTACAAACAAGCTAGACAATAGAATCTTACACAAAGCATCATTTACATCAGCTTTCCACAACGCATTGTCCTCCAGGTGTACCAGGCTACTGACCTTATGGGAAATTATGCAAGCTGCAAGTAATGCATTTGCAAACTTCGCATATCTGGAAATATCTTGGCTGTGCAAAGTCTGGACGAGGTTGTGGCAGGATGCCACTGAAACTATATTGTTCTTTTAGAAGTTGGATGCATTTGTGTAAAATTTGCATGGTTGAAAGTCTCGGCAGACAAGTTTCAGGAAGAAAATGGGAGAGAAATTATAGTTCACGACTACTGGCCTACCGTATTTTTCGGAGTATAAGATGCACCAGAGTATAAGACGCAGCTTAGTTTTTGGGGAGGAAAATAGGAAAAAAAAATCTGCCTACCAGGTATTCATCTGGCTAGCGTCCTTAGTCTGGTCAGCTTCAGCACATTAGTTTGCTGGTTTTTATCAAGCAGGGGATAAAAAACACCTTCTAAAACACAACTGATCTTTGGAGAGAGAAGCAATGAGAAAAGCAGGCAAAGCACGGGGAGATCGCTTCACTTGGCTAACGCCTAGTTAGGGCTGAAAAAAAGCTTCTAAAGAACAGCTGAGTGTTGGAGCAAAGCATGGAGATCGCTTCACTCACTAGCGCCTCGTTAAAGCACGGGTTCCGCTCCCTAACGCCTCGTTAGCGCGTTAGGGCTGAAAAAAAGCTTCGAAAAAGCTACATTCAGAGTATAAGACGCACTCAAATTTTCAGCCTCTTTTAGAGGGAAAAAGGTGCATCTTATACTCTGAAAAATATGGTATATTAAAAATGATGCTTCACACTTTCCTCAATCTTCCACTTATTTCACACAAGTAGATTTCATACAAGGATATTGCCTGCATATATCATCAAATCTGATCAGCACAATCATTTCTCTCTCTATTTCCAGGCTAATAGATGTTTTCTAGATTTATTACACTGGCCATTATAGTACCAATGGTGCTTTTCAAATCGCAACCGGATTTTCTTTGTTTTTTGCTTGAAGTTGTTTCGTTTCTTATTCTTCTTCAGTTCAGCCAGAACTGAAGAAGCTTCTTGGATGAGAAGTGAAACATCTTTAAGCAAAAACAAAGAAAGTCCAGTTGCCTTTTGAAAAATCACCTTTGGGACAACCGGGACCTAGATGACTGAGAATCTCCAAAGACACTGGCCATTATATAAAGTGACTTTTCCTCTATACACAAATGTAATATTTGTCAGAAATTACAATGGGTGAAAAAGTGTATGTAGTGAAACCCAAAGAAAGTGCTTTTATTGCTTAATGCTTCTTCAATGATATAAAAATGAAATATTTGCCATCAAAGGAACTTAAGTTAGCATTACTCCCAACTGGTCTGCAAACCCCTGAATGACCATGAGATGGCAGCAAAGAGACATAGAAAACACTAATGCTTTGCTGTTATCCAATGGTCATTCAGATGTTCGCAATTCAGAACTGGTTACCCTACTCAAGTTCTGAAAAGGATTACACATTAATGTAAAAATAACAATTATTTTTAGCCCTAAATAAGTAAAAACTAATAGCAAAGTATCAAATCTACTATCCAATGCCTTAATTTAAGTCACATTGTTTATAAATATCTGGTCCTCTTTTCTGAATAGTGAAGATTCACAACAGCCAGATTGCAAAATAGAAATGAATCTAACAACTACTGACATTAAAGAATGAGTTCCTAACACTTTGACAACATGCTAATGTTTTGGTTCAATGGCTGCAGGCCAAGCATTGGGCTGCAGGGACCCATGATTTTCCAAAGAAGTTCAAAAGCCTTTGTGAATCCAGAATAAGTTGATTTGTGATATATTTACATGTATGTATATATGTATGTATCAAATATATTTTACTGATAAAGAAATAAAGGGAGACTGGTATAGATCTATTTCAAGCTTCTTAGCTCTCATCAGCCAGCCTTACCCTTACTTGGATTCGAACCTGGGCTGCCTGCATGTTAGGCAGTTGTATTAACCACTGAGCCACAAGTTCTTCTCCCTTCATCAGCCTGAGCCAGGGGAAAGATTAGACCAGGTGTCTCGGTAAAACACTTAGTATGTATGTATGTATGTATGTATGTATGTATGCGTGTATAAATCAGTGATGGGTTGCTACCAGTTCACCCCAGATCGAGGGAACCAGTAGCAACAGCGGTGGGAGGCTCCGCCCACCCTAGACATCTTTGTGCATGTACAGAAGCGTTGCGCACGCGCACACAAGCAAATCAGTAGCAAATGAAATTGAAACCCACTACTGATATGTGTATGTGTGTGTGTGTGTGTGTGTGTGTGTGTGTGTGTATTGCATATACTGCAACTCCTACCAATTTCATCCAGGCTACATAGCTATAAGAGGAGAATGAATGAAAAATCCTGGTTGGTCCCATTTTCATCTCTGTTTACCTTCATTTGGCACTCACGCTTGTAATATACCCTTGAAAAATATGCACCAGAGATTTATTGGTTAAGGGTACCTGTTCCTCAACTAAAATTGTTTCTCAGCTACTCTTCATATGAAAAGCTTTTGGGAATCCCTCTTATTTGACCTGCATTTGTTATATATTTAAAATGTTTAACAGACACTGGATTACAGGCATATTTCTCTTAAGAAAGGTCATGTAAAATGTACACTGAGTTATTGATCCCTTTGCAGAAGTCTCCAAATGGACTTTTAATTATTTTGAGTAATTTAAAGGATGGATTTTAAGTAAGAACACTGGAATCTAGAATGCAGTTCCTTCATATCCATGGAAAAACACAAGAGTTTCCATGTTATAAACCTGTGAAGATACAGGAGTCGTATTGCTACATAAAATAAGACCCCATTTGCCAAAAAAAGAAAAGAAAAAGGAGTGAGATCTTCGATAATACTTTTGAATTTCACTTCTGCATTTTGTGGTGTGTTTTCCAAGCTTTTTCTGCTCAACCAAAGCCCAGAATGCCTACGCCACTTCCTAAGAAATGGAATACCCCAGTGATAGGCCCGTGTTTTGCTCTGCCTTTTTTCACAATGTCCTTGCGGAAGTGAAGTTGGCTTGAAATCTCCCATCTAGATGAGATGAACAACAAGAACCGAAAAGCCTGATCCTAGTGCTAACCCCGCCTGCAGGAAGAGCATCATCAACACTCCAGCTGCCTCCGACAGTTCCTTCGGAGTGACTTTGGGACCATATATAATCGATAATGTACTCAGGTAGCCATTGCTGAGTCCTAGGGACACAATAAACACCATCGGATACACATCATGGGCAAAGACGACATTTGCAATGTGCACTCGAGGCTGAAAGTTGCATAACATGAAGACGGGGATGAACAAAGTTCTCAGCAGAGTCATGATCGGTAGCCACTTGCTTCGTGGTCCAGGAACCTGGACCCACGCGGTGATCTGCCGTCCACACCAGTCAGCAAAATTATACAGAAGGAAGCTAGTGAGAGGTGTGAAGTATTTATCTGTCCACGGGCTCCCTGAGAATTTGTTCACAGACTCGATGCTGGACGAGACTGCAGGGAAAATGGTGATGGAGATGAAGTAGACATAGAAGACACAGAAACCTAACATGCCGATCTTCTTCAAGATGAGCCACAGCGGAGGGATTTTATCCGTATAGTTTCTGTTTGGCAAGAGCTGGCTGGGATTATCTGCTGCCATATCCTCTTCTTCCAAGTAACTGCCGGGCAAAGCATTGGATGACAGCGTTGCGGTATAATACCTGAAAAAGGGGGAAGGGGAAAAAAGTTAAGAGAAAAGCAAACCAACAGAAAATTGAAACCGAGATAGGAAAATTAGGAGATGGAAAGGAGCTCATTAGTTCATGTTGCTGTTTGTTTGTTCAGTCATTCAGTTGCTTCTGATTCTTTAATAGAATAACAGAGTTGGAAGAGACCATGGAGGTCTTATGGTTGGATCATGGTTGTCCAACATCTTCCTCAAGCAGGAGACTCAAGACTATTTCAGACAAATGGTTGTCGAGTCTCTTCTTAAAACCTCCAATAATGGAGCACCCACGACTTCTGGAGGCAAGCCATTCCACGGGTAAATTGTTCTGTCAGGAACTACCGTATTTTTCAGAGTATAAGATGCATCGGAGTATAAGATGCAGCTTAGTTTTTGGGGAGGAAAATAGGAAAAAAAATATCTGTCTACCAGGTATTCATCTGGCTAGCATCCTTAGCCTGGTCAACTTCAGCACATTAGTTTGCTGGTTTTTATTCCCTTGCTTGGGGATAAAAAATAGCTTCTAAAGCACAGCTGATCTTTGGAGAGAGAAGCAATGAGAAAAACAGGCAAACCACGGAGATCGCTTCACTCGCTAGCGCCTCCTTAGGGCTGAAAAAAAGCTTCACAGCTGAGAGTCGGAAGGAGCAGGCAAAGCGTGTCACTCGCTAAAGCTTCACAGCTGAGAGTCGGGCTGAAAAAAAGCTTCACAGCTGAGAGTTGGAGGTTAGCACGGAGATCGCTTCACTCGCTATCCCCTTGATAGGGCTAAAAGACAGCTTTGAAAAAGCTACATTCAGAGTATAAGACGCACCCAAATTTTCAGCCTCTTTTAGGAGGGAAAAAAAGTGTGTCTTATATGCCAAAAAATACGGTACTCCTTAGTTCTAGGTTCTCTCCTTGATTAGTTTCCATCCATTGTTTTTTGTTTTGCTTTCTGGTGCTCTGGAGAATAGGTTGACCCCACCCCCCCTCTTATTTGTGGCAGCCCCTCCAATATTGGAACACTGCTATCATGTCACCCTTACAGTAGTGGCCAAAATTGTGGAAACCTTTTGGGGAAAGTGTATTTTTGAGGTTTGATGGCTAATAACACCACTTTTTTTTGGAGTTTCAAGATAAAAGACATGGTTCACTCCATGGGAAGATTTTGTAAGGCCGTGATTCATGCTAAAGGTTACCCAACTATTAACATGTGACATGTGATAATTTTTGTATATCTTGTTTTTTCTATGGTGATAATTTTTGTATATCTCGTTTTTCCTACGTGTTTCACTTTCCTTCTTTATACTGTAACTGCTATTCTTATAGCAAATCCTTCATAAAAGCTATTGCATCACATTTTTGACGAAATTACCTTTCCATTGATATATAATTTTATGGTACTACTCCAAAAAAAAAAAAAGTGGTGTTATTAGCTAGTTTTAGATAATACACTTTTCCCAAAAAGTTTCCACAATTTTGGCCACTACTGTAGTCCACTAATCATCCTTGTTGCTCTTCTCTGCTCTCTTTTCAGAGTCTCAACATCTTTTTTTTTATATCGTGGTGACCAAAACTGGATGCAATATTCCATGTATGGTCTTACCAATGCCTTATAAAACAGTACTAACATTTCATGTGATCTTGATTCTATTCCTCATATTTGGGTGGCTCATATGTAAGTGGTTGTCCACTAGGACTCTCTCTTACTGCTACTGCTATTACAGTTACTGCTATTGAGCCAGTACTCAATATTTGTGACTTACAAATTCTGCAGCTCTATGGCTGTTCCCCAAAGCCATTCTAGACCTCTTCCAATGGTGGAATTCAAAAATTTTTATTACCTGTTCTGTGGGCATGGCTTGGTGGGCATGGCAGGGGAAGGATACTGTAAAATCTCCATTCCCACTCCACTCCAGGGAAAGGATACTGCAAAATCTCAATTCCCACCCCACTCTGGGGCCAGCCAAAGGTGGTATTTGCCGGTTCTCCGAACTACTCAAAATTTCCGCTACCAGTTCTCCAGAACCTATCAGAACCTGCTGAATTTCACCCCTGACCTCTTCTCTATCACCTCAGAATGGATAACATGACATGTTTCAGGAAGGCAGAATTCAGCAGAAAACTACCTAACAAGAAGAACAATTTAACAAAGGAACCAATTTACCAGAGAGGTGGGATGTTACACTTTGGTGGATGTTTTCATGCAGAGAATGGACTGGGGGCTTGCTTTAATTTGGCTCCTTGGACCAAGCAGAAAACTGGATTCTACAGAAGCCTTGATGACGCTTCCTAAGTCTTTCTAAAATTAAACAAACACTGTATTTTTTCATGGAGGAGAAGGGGAAAACCCTTCAACTTGTTACTTATTTAGGAAGAGACTACCCCAACTTTGGGGAAGTATTTTTACAGCATGTCCAAATTTAAAATTACATTTAAAGAATGCAACTTTGACAGATGCATTGCATGGAACTTAATCTATGAGTAAATACTGATCCTTTACCAAATTACAGAGGAAGTTTAACCAGCTCAGAGAGCAATTCTGTCTAACCTAGGTGTGGTGGGACTCTAATTCAAATTAATGTCTTCTTGGGCAAACTGATTATGAATTATGGGAAACGGAATTTATAAGATCTGGAGAACCATGCATTGGGGGGGATAATCAAATTCAACTGAGTTGCTCAATTGCGTAAAAGATCGTGAACTCCTTATTTTCAAATGCTGGAAAACGTGCCAGGACAGGCCTAAGAAAGAGACCTTAAGAAAGAGCTGCCAACCATGTTACATTGCAAACAAATCTATAGCAACAAGAAGGGTAATTAAAAAAGAAAAAAGAGAGAAAAGTCATCCTTGAATCTAGCTCCAATCCTGGCACTATCTACATCCTTTCTTTGGCAGCCTTGAAAAGTAGTTTTCCATTCTTTTCAACGTGTTTTTTTTTTCCTGCCAACTTTCCAGTTCAACCCCACAGCTGTGGAATTCTTTTATGGTCCTTTATCAAAATACTAAGCGGAGCTAAATGTGTTTAGCTTCCAAGATCAGTTAAGGACGGCTAGGTTCTTCTCCTTGTTCAGGGAAGAAAGATAACAGCCAATCTATAAAAGCCAAATCCCAGTTCTGTTAAAAGACCTGGACAGACTTGGTGTCAGGGTTCCAACGGATGCCCTAATTAAATCATGAGCCTTGAGCCAAGCTTCGAAAGAAATTCAGTTATTTATTAGGAGCTTCATGTCGCCACATTCCCAAGTGAAGCCAGCTCTGACCATACATAATTTAGGCCCCAATCATGACCCTGTTTCCCCCACCACCACCACCAGGGTGTGTCATCAATCACATTCGCCAACAGAGCAATTTTGCGGGTTGTAGAGACCACTCCCCTCTGGCCACTGTGGGTAACCCCGGGATACAGCCTTGAGAGAGATAAGTCTGGAATGTGCATCTGTCTTTGGCTGCCGTGCCGTTTTGTCAGTTTCCCCCCCTCAGGCCAGGGATGCTTTGCGAGTTGACATTGGGTTCCAGAGTTTTAAAACTGGTGGCCACCCCCACCATCAGGAACACAAGGGACACTGAAACTGGGGTTCGTTTTATATTGACACTGTATCCATACCAGATTGTATGTTTGGGGGGGGGGTTTGGGCCAGGGAAGAACTTGTAATATATCATGTATTTTCATTCCAAGATTGCATTGATCAGCCTGGGGAGAGAAAAGAGAACAAGAAGCAGCAGAGGCACTGCCTAACACTTTCCCTAGCTATTATAGGAAGGGCTTTCATAAAAAGGCAGTCTCGTGACATCCAGAGCTAAGTATTTTAGAGCCCAATCCTTAAACATCTAGGCCAGGGGTGTCAAACTCAAGGCCTGGGGGCCAGTTCTGGCCCACGGGGTGCTTAGATCTGGCCTGTGGGGCCACCCTGGAAATAGCAAAGGACTGGCCTGAGGTGCCTCTGCATCGAAAATGGAGCTCGGGAGGGGCGCCTGTGGCCCTCCCAAGCTCCGTTTTTGCTGGCAGAGGGTTGCAGGAGGCCATCGCAGCTGAAAACGGAGCTTGGGAGCCCGTTTTCGCTGGAAAAGCGCTCAGGCCACCACAGGTGCCCCCAACATGAGTGACATCAAGCTGGCCACATCAACCCCGGCCATGCCCACCTTGGCCCCCTGAGGTCGAGGCCTTCAATGAAATCGAGTTTGACACCCCTGATCTAAGCTGATTATTGATCTAACTGGACAATGGTTGTTACCTGGCATACTCCAGCTTGGGAAGAATCAGATACATCATAATGCACAAAACAATGAAGATGTCCCCTATCAGGAAGTAGGCCAGAGCACTGTTTGTGACTTCCGATGATGCTGCCAGATCCACCACCGATGCCAGGGCACTCACCGTTCCTCCCATGGCCTGACCTATGTGATGAGGATACGGGGGGAGGAGGAAGAATAAGCATAAATGTCAATGGAATAAGGTCCGGCCACCGCTGGATTAGTCAAAATGAAACATGTTGAATGAGAATCTGCTTGGCAGCCAAATCAGAGAAGATGGAATCGAGGAGCAAGAGACTGAAATGGAACTAGAAACAATAATCCCAGTTTTGATCCTGGTTAGACATTTTGCCTGGAATTCTGAAGTTTTGGTTTATTATGCCCGTATTGAATTTGTGTACTTTCTTTTGTTCCAATTATTATGCATGTATTCCCTCGTCACTCCATAAATATGGATGTAAGGTCATTTTTAAGTTCAGGCAGACTTCTTAAATTGCTCATCAGCAAGGTGTTAAATACACACACGTGCACAAATAAGACAGTTGCACAATTTGAGTAATAAAACACACACACACATCAACTAATGTTGCTTTTAACCCAAGGAAACGTGTGTAGAGGGATTAAATATATCAAAAGATAAGAGTTCTAGGGGAACTCCCTAGCTATAAAAAGCAAACTACCATATATACTCGAGTATAAGCCGACTTTTTCAGCACATTTTTTTATGCTGAAAAAGCCCCCCTCGGCTTATACTCGAGTGAGTAAATAAAATAAATGAAATAAATATTCAAAAACATTTAACCTACTGATGCTTCAATTAATGCTGCTCAATGTAGCTGCTGCATTTCCCACCCTAGGCTTATACTCGAGTCTATAAGTTTCCCCATTTTTTTGTGGTAAAATTAGGTGCCTCGGCTTATATTCGGGTCGGCTTATACTCGAGTATATATGGTACTTTTGAATCTTGTGAGAATTTCAAAAATCACCTCTGAGGAGACTCAAAAAAAAACCAACAACCCCTATTTCTGGGGAAATAAAAAGGCAACATTACTTTCAAAATCTTGAGCTTACCAGCCATATTTGGGTGACAAATTTGTAAAGGAAAGTGATAGATAACTAAGAGTTCAAAACGTAAAAAAAAAAAAAAATAGTTAACTTTAGCTTTTGGATCAAATATATGCAAACAGAAATACCATCGCTTATTAGGCTGTTCTTAGGTCCTTTGACCTTCCATTTTTGTCAGAAAGATGTTTAAGTACACAATGCAAAGGTTTATTAGCACACCGTGTGACTTTCCATTTTATAGTCATAATAAAATAAATTTATGATAATGTATGGTTAAATGCTGAAAGGCTTCCAAAAAGGGCTGTGGTGAAAATCTCCACCAGGGGTCAACCCTTATCTACATTTATTTCTGCGGTGCAGGAACAAAAGTAAAAATAAAATAAAATAAAATAAATCTCAGGATTGTCTCTCCCCTTCTTCCCCCGCATTTTTTTAAAATTCTCAGATTGCATTCCCAGTGCCATCCATCCTTGATAAACCTCAAGGGGACTCATCATTCATACCTGCAAACTTGGAATTCATCAGTTATGGAGATGAGCTTTAATGTGAATATCAAATAAGACAATGAAAAGCTTCGGGTTTTTTCCACCCCCACCTCAAAATATAAACAAACATGGAGCTGAATGCAAATGTTTTCTTTCAGTACAGGTAGTCCTTGGATTAGGACTGGCCTTTAGCGACTGTTCAAAGTTACACCCACCTCCCCCCCCCAAAAAATACTTATGACTCGGTTTTGAAGTTATGGTTCCTGCTGAGCCCCCACAATCACACAAAGAAAATTTTGGTGGATTCGCCCTTATGACCCACTGCAGGGACCCACCCTGCCAGGTTCCACATTTTCTTCCCCATCTCCAATCATTTACCTTTTACTGTAGATCTCCTTCTGGAAGCTTTGGAGATCATGCTGGGGAAAGAGACTAGGTCACTCTGCCCCTCGCCATCCCTAGGCCTGGTGGATCAATCCAAGAAATGGGCGCCATTTTTGGAGCAAACCATTGTGGGCGCTTCAAAATTGCACCTGCTTCTGTGATAGTAACACACAGCCTACAGGGTACTTGTGGGGATCTGGTTAGCAAGCCAAGGCCAGAGGTGGAATTAACTTACCTTTGCTACTGGTTCGCAAATGTGAGCGTGTGCGCCTCCTCCACGCATGCTTGCGCAGAAGCTCAAAAACGGGACATGATGACGTCTGGGTGGAGCCTCCTGCTGCCAGCGCTACTGAATCACATGATCTGGATAGAACCGGCTGAATTTCACCACTGCCCAAGGCCTATTAAGGTCTCCGAGAGGGGGAAAGAGGAGCACAGGATGCCTCAGGGGGTGAAGGAGGTTTGGGGAAGTCCGGGGCAAGTGGGCCAGGGAGTACACATCACCTCCCAGAGCTCCTAAAAACCCTGAGGCACCGCATGCTCCACTTAACAACCACATTAAATTGGGGAGAGCAAGGATGGAGTGCCGTAAGTAAGGCGATTACGTGGGTGCCTCACTTAACCCCCATCATAATGGCAGGCTCCATCACAGCCATAAATCAAGGACCACCTATACCAGTGATGGCTAACCTTTTTGCCATCGTGTGCCAGGAAGGGGGGGCGGGGGAGGTTCGCAAGCGTGCACGTGCCCACAACCATAATTCTATGCACCCGCCCTGCGCATGCATGCATGACCCTGCCCCTCCCCTCTCCCCGCTCCTGGCACACAATGGCCACGTAGGCCCATTTTTCTTTCTCACCTGGCTCCAGATCCTCTCTATGCATCTGGGGAGGGCAAAAACAGCCTTCTCCACCCCCTCAGAGGTCCAAAATGGCCAGTTTCCCAACTTCTGGTTGGACAGGAAGTGACATTTTTTGTTGTTCCGAGCCTCCAGAGACTCCTAGAGGCTGAGCTGAACTGAGAGTGCCAGGTGACATGGCTCCGTGTGCCACCTGTGGCACGCGTGCCATAGATTCGCCATCACGGATCTATACCCGTCAAAAAAGTTAAACCATCCCAAAAGAAATGCCACAGAATGAGAGAATAAGAATAAAGAAAAGGATGGCCTCTTAACATAAATTTTATTTTCAACCTCCTCTTCAGGGTATTGTAAAAGTCATCTAGGTTAAAAATATCATTGAGATCGAAATAATTGTCACACATGGACAAAACCCTCCGTGCAAAGTCATGGGTTAACCCAACTATCACCACAGGACCCAGTACTGAAAGAATCCTACAATAACCTCCAACAACAACCAATCGGTTTAAGCATTTTTTAAAAGAAAAAACAAACGAACAGCAAACCTGAAATCAGTGCCTGGGAATTCCTCATGGGAAAGGATCCCGACAAGCCAAAAAGACTACTGATGAAGATGGTGGCAGCACTGCTGATGACGGCCACGCAAACAATGGTGATGATAAAAAACCACAGTGTCCAAGTTGAAGTGTCCACTTTGACCAGAACTGTAATCACCAGAAAAACAACCAGCATAACAGCCAAGGAGGAGAGAATACGGACGTTGACAGAAACCCTGGAAAAGAAACAAATAAATTGGTGGGTCTCTTAACAAGCATCCCCTAAGATTCTCCCCAGTCCTGAGATTATATTTACACCTCAGCAAACGCTCCTTTGCTTTGAAATGGCCAGGAGAGAAATTAATGAACAATGAATATGAACAATTAACCAGTGGAACAACTTGCCTCCAGAAGTTGCGAATGCTCCAACACTGGAACTTTTTAAGAAGATGTTGGATAACCATTTGTCTGAAGTGGTGTAGGGTTTCCTGCCTAAGCAGGGGGTTGGACTAGAAGACCTAGCCTGACTAGGTGGCTCAGTGGCTAAGACACTGAGCTTGTCGATCAGAAAGGTTGGCAGTTCGGCGGTTCGAATCCGTAGTACAGGTCTCCTCCGTGAGCAGGGGGTTGGACTAGATGACCTCCAAGGTCCCTTCGAACTCTGTTATATTATTCTAACAGATGTTAAAGAATTGCAGCATCACAGGAGTGGAAGGGACCTTGGAGGTCTTCTGGTCCAGGGGTCGGCAACCTTAAACACTCAGAGCCACAAAGGTCCTAACCGGAAGCCCCCATTCAATTCCGGAGCTGACCGGAAGTCCAGTTCCCCGATCATAGTCTCCTCCTAGCGCTGCGTCCTTTTTCCTCTGTTGACCAGAAGTCCGGTTCCCCCACCATAGAGTCTCCTCCTAGTGCTGCATCCTTTTTCCTCTACCAATCCTAACCGAAAGCCCTATCAATTGTGGAGCTGACCAGCAACAGGGAGCCGCAGCAGAGGGATGAAAGAGCCACATGCGGCTCCAGAGCCGCGGGTTGCTGACCCCTGTTCTAGTCCAACCCGCTATCTATTGCAGATCTCATACCATTCCAGACTTTATTTGGGCTTGGTGGGATGGGCACACGTGATCATAGAAACAATAACTGACTTTATCTTATAAGAGCAAAGAATGTGAAAAGACCTATAAATACAGGCAGCTCTTGATTTACAATCCTTCATTTAGTGACCGAAGTTACAACAGCAGCGAAAAAAGTGACGTATGACTGGTGTTGCAGCATTCGCACGGTCACATGATCAAAATATGGATGTTTGGAAACTGGCCTGTAGTTATGACGGTTGCGGTGTTTCTGGGAGTCACTTAATCACCATTTGTGACCAAGACGTTATTTGTGACCAACACGTAACCGAATAAGTGGTGAGCATCTCTGACAAAGAAGCCCAACCAAAAATTGCTTGGTTCCAGTTCTGTTATCCGGTCAGAACATGTCTTTTTCCACTGAAGGCCTCTGTGCTATTCAGAAGCTTACAGAAGTATTAAAAATTTTAAATTTTTACCCTGGGAAAGACGCAGGGTAGAAAGGACAGGGTTCTTGAATAAGGCTGAATATGGTAAGACAAAGAGGCTAAGAAATTGGATGCCGAGATAAACAGCACACAGATTTTTCTCTTTCATGTGCTTAATTAAGAAATGCCAAATAACTGAATGCAGCCTTTGTACTGCAAATTAAATGTCCTTCTCTACAAATTAAAAATTCTGAGCTTCTACGTACGGGCTGCTTTTCCCGATGAAAAGTTTCGAAACGCTTCAAGGAAGTTACCGGTACGTAGCTAGAAGGAGGAAATCCCAGTTGGGAAGTTCTAAATGTGGATGGACCAGGGGTGAAATTCGCCCGGTTCAGACTGGATCACCCGATCCGGTAGCGATGGTGGGGGGAGGTTTGGAGAACCAGTAGCAAAAATCCCTGCCCTCCCCCCCATGCCCAGCTGAGCCACGCGACCATCAGAGGCTTTTTTTAAAAACTTTTAAAAGCATTTTTTCTTTGACCGAAAAAATGCTTTTAAAAGTAAAAAAAAAAAAAGCTTCTAATGATCAGGCAACTCAGCTGGGATCGTCAGAGCCTTTTAAAAGCATTTTTTTACAACCTCTTTGGCCGAAGACGTTGTAGAAAAAAAATGCTGTTAAAAGTTTAGAAAAAACAAAAAGTTGGCCACGCCCACCCAGTCACATTACCCCCCCAAGCCACGCCCACAGAACCGGTAGTAACAAATTTTATATTTCACCACTGAGATGGACCATCTTGAGTAGTAGTGTCCATAATGGATCCAATGGGGTGGGGGTGGGGAAATGGACAGGAGAAAAAGGAAAGAAATGAAAATGAAAGTAGAATGATGACAGGAAGGAACAAAAAAGAGAGATCTGTCTGGAAAAAGGTTTAGAACTGAGCTTTGGTGTATGTGGTTTATATTTATTAATGTTTGGAGATGGTCCTCGACTTACAACCTTTTGTTTAGTGACCACTCAAAGTTACAAAAAGCGACTTACAACTAGTTTGAAGACTTAATGATAGTTGCAGCAGCCATCCCTATGGTCACGTAGTCAAAATTTGGGCGCCTGGCAACTGGCAGATATTTTATGGCAACGGCACTGTCCCAGGGTCCTGTTGTCACCATTTATAATCTTCCCAGCTGGCTTCCAACAAACAAAGTCAATGGGGGAAGCTAGATTTGTTTAACAACCATATAATTTACTTAACAACCGCAGTGATTTGCTTAACAACTGTGGCAAAAAAAGAAGGGTCATAAAATGGGGCAAAACTCACTTAACAATGGTGCCTTGCTTAGCAATGGGGCTCAGTTGGGATCGTAAGTCGAGGTCTACCTTCACTTGGCTAGAAATTAAAACTGATCAATTTTAAAATATTAATTTATTTGACTTAATAGACCACAGGGATGCCCAGACCGTACACTGGTTTAGAGAACATAAGGTTGAATTTTCAAGAGTGTAAATAGAAAGTACAGTAGATGTAAGGAAAAAGGATGTGCAAGATATTTGGATCAAAGCAAACATATTATATAAAGTAACACAGAAATGTATGGAATTAAGCTAATGGGAAATATTTGAAAAAAGAGTTTGGTGGGATGATGGTGGTTGAATAAAATTCATATAAGAATATATATCTTCCACTTGTTGAGTGAAAGATACAGCTAAATGCATATAAAGAGAAAGATAGACGCACAGAAGATAATTCGACCTTATTTTTTTAAAAATTAAAAAAAAATAGTTAAAAGAAAGAAAATGCAAAGCTATGCTGAAGACAATAACAATTTCTTTGGGAGATGGATGAAGAGGCTCCAGGAGAATGAATGCAATAAAAAGGAAAACGGATGAAAGTATTTGGGATAGAACTGAAATGAGGGACTATTGGAAGGTGTATTGTGACAACAATAGTGATAAATTGAAGAATGGAACTGAAATATATATGATTAATGTTGGTGTTCAGAAAAAAGATGGTGAAAAGGGAGCCATCAATGTTTGAGAAAGTTGAAAAATAGTAAGGTTGCAATGTGTAGATGATGTCACTAGAGAAAGATGGAATTGTTTGATTACAGATTGGCTGTATGATGCTTTTAACATGTGTGAAGGAGGTTAGTTTGTTATAGGTACTCTGTTTCCCCCAAAATAAGACATCCCCTGATAATAAGCCCAATCGGGCTTTTGAGCACATGGCAATAAGGCCAAGCACTTATTTCAGGGTTCAAAAAAATATAAGACAGGATCTTATTTTCAGGGAAACACAGTATCTCAAAAAAGGTTGGCAAAATTTTAGCTGAAAGGGGTATTACATATGAAAAATGATTGCACAAATTGGGTTTGCCTAGTCTAGTGGAAAGAAGGACTAGGGGTGACATGATAGCAGTCTTCCAATATCTAAGGGGCCCATTTCCAGCCTCCAGAGGGCCTCCGGAGCCTGGGGAGACCGTTTTTGCCCTCCCGGAGGCGCGAGGAAAACCTCCGGAACCCGGGGAGAGAAAAAATGCCCCCCCGCCGTGGTGCAGGAGGCTGACTAGGCCATGCCCACCATGGCCACACCCACTCAGCAACCGGGCAGAGAGCCCCTTGCTAAAATTTTTGAAGCCCACCTCTGGATAAGGCCCTGGCTTTAACATCTGGTTATGATAAACACATTTTTCTCAAAGTTATATCTTTAAATGAGATATACTTCATTCCACGAGACTGCAAAAATTAGAAATGTTGCCTGCTTAACTCTAGGTCCATGATGGCGAACCTATGGCATGCATAGCCATATCGGTGGGCACGCAACCTCAGCTGTGGCACGCATGCACATGCCGGCCAGCTGATTTCCGGACCTTCTGGGCCCACCAGAAGTAGGGAAACAGGCTGTTTCCTGCCTCCGGAGGACCTCGGGATGGTGGGGAAGGCTCGTTTTTCGCTCTCCCCAGTCTCCAGAGCTTTTATAGGAGCCTGGGGAGGGTGAAAACGGACTTCCTCATCCCCCCAGAGGCCATCCGGAGGCCGGAAATGGCCCATTTGCCAACTTCCGGTGGCACCTCCACCATCCCGCTCCTGGCACACAATGGCAAAAAAGTTAGCCATCACTGCTCTAGGTTTTTTGACAAACCCTACCTGTTTGAACATATAGTTTTAAAGCAATTCAACAAAATGAATTCTCCCTGGGCAAAAAGACATGCTAGTGGACACCCCAGTTCTGCTCAGTTTCTTCCTCACTTTAATCCTCCAAAAACGTTAGGCATGAGATCCAGTTCAGACCCATCGCCACATTTTAATCATCACAGAACTTCTTAAGAAGGATGGAGCATGGAGTACCGGTAGTCATAAGTTAATCTCTAGAGGCAATCAAGCTACAGGGAACCAATTTTCCTGGGAGTTTCCATAAATGCAAGCCAGAACTCATGTGTATTTATGATGCTGAAAACTTAGCATAATAAAACACTTATTGATTATGGATGCGCCACTCAGCAGAATCAACAATGTGCCGAAGATAAATGAATGCTATGTTTAAAATGTAACACATTAAGCATAATGGGCTTTGTGAAATGGATTCCCGAGCTAGAGAATATAGAAGGGTTTAAGTTTTCTGGATCAGCTTTACTTCATGGAATTGTGGGGGAGGGGAGGCAGATAATTTAATTCTCTGTTTTAAGAAATTCTACAAATAAGGATAGTCACAGTAAGACAGATAATGGGGACATTTTTGACAGAGAATGCCATTTAAGCAAATGAGGGCTTTCTCCAGTATTAATTCTTAGGTTTCAGCAAGTATACCATGGCTTTATTGTGACAGTCAGTTAATTTTTCTATAAAAATGTGGAAAAATAAAGACAATATTAAATATCTTTCCCGGAACATCAGAGGGACAGAAACCAAGATGCCTTTCAAATACGGCAATTTTCTTCACCATGGCCGCTTAAAGAAGTGTAGACTTCAACTCCCAGAATTCCTTGAGTGGCTGGGGAATTCTGGGAGTTGAAGTCCGCAGCTCTGAAAGCCACCAAGGTTGAGAAGCACTGCAGTAGAGAATCAAGGAGTTGCCTCCCCAGGGTTCTCTTGCAAAGATTTCCTTCCAGAAGGGGTGGAGCCAATGGTGAAATGCTACCGGTTCACTCCGGTTCGGTTGAACTGGTAGTTAGCTACCGGTTCGGATTTCACCACTGGGTGGAGCTCTATGGAAAATTTGTCCAGTTCCCTCAGTGATAGGCGATGATAGTTTAAAAAGGAAAGAAGTGTCCTTCAGTGCAGGAGTTCCCAACCCTCGGGCCATGGCGCAGTACTGGGCTGTGGCACATTCAGAACTGGGCCATGCAAGCAGCAGACGAGCGCTTGTAGCTCCATTTGCACGAGCAGCAGGTATGCACACCCACTGCTTGTGTAAATGGAGTTGCGTGCGCATGGATGTGCATCCACTCCGCTTGCACAGAACCATCCCCGCTCTCTCCCTTGCTGGTCCACAAAGCCGGAAAGGATGGAGATGCCTGTTTGAATGTCCTGCCAAACCTAGCCTCAATTTACTGAACATACTCAAAGTCTGCATGCAAGCGAAGTAAGAATTCCAAGAAAGGAATTGCAAAAAATGAATCTTTTAAGGGCGACTTTCCTGAACCCAGTGCCCTGCGGATGTTCTGAATTATAATTACCCACAACTCCAGAGTTTTAGAATAGGCAAGGCTGCAAGAAAATGACTGGCGTTAAACTGAAATAGATTGGAGACCTTAAGTAGATAACTAATGGGATCATCTACCAAATTCCAAGACTTTCTCAGCTAAAGGACTGGTATTCCTTTAGAACAGGGGTGTCAAACTCAAGGCCCGGGGACTGGATCCGGCCCGCAGGGTGCTTAGATATGGCCCATACCCCCAACTGGCAACAATGAAGGACTTTATTGGTGGTGCCCGTGGTGCCTATGCCAGCGAAAACGGAGCTTGGGAGGGCTGCACACGGGTCCTCCCGAGCTCCATTTTCGCTGGCAGAGAGTTGCAGGAGGCCGTCCCAGCCAAAAATAAAGCTCGGGAGCCTGTTTTCACTGGCAGTGGGCTCAGGCCGCCACAGGCACTCCAACATGATTGACGTCAAGGTGGCCACACTCAACCCACTCTAACCCCCCTCCCCCCACCGTGATCAAACACAACCCTGACGCAGCCCCCAATGAAATCGAGTTTGACACCCCTGCTTTAGAACATACCTAAGGACATTTCAAAAGGTGGGGTTTGGATTATGTTTTTGATCAGGTAAGAATTCTCATGTCAAAATGTAAGTTAGTGGTTGTCAGAGCTCTCTTGTCTTAAAAGAGGAAGAAAAAGAAATGGGAAACAGGATTCTGGTGCTTCGTACAGAATTATCAACCCTGAAACTTCGAAGCCTATGATTTTTGTACTTTTTTTTCCCCCACATCTCTTTTCCTGTGCTATACATTCCCCTCCCTATACATGGTGGAATTCAAATTTTTTTACTACCGGTTCTGTGGGTGTGGCTTGGTGGGCGTGGCAGGGGAAGGATACTGCAAAATCCCCATTCCCTCCCCACTCCTGGGGGAAGGATATTGCAAAATCTCCATTCCCACCCAACTCTGGGGCCATCCAGAGGTGGTATTTGCCGGTTCTCCGAACTACTCAAAATTTCCGCTACTGGTTCTCCAGAACCTGCTGGATTTCACCCCTGGTTCCCTCCTTCAAGTTGTAAAACGCAAGGGTCGTGGCAGGAACAGCGAAGGTAGAGAAGTGCTGATCGCTCCATCCCACCTTCTCCTTTCGAAAACGGTGACCTACTTTCATTTTGCATAGGGGAGAGACAAACTGCATAGCTAGCAACTATGCTGTCTTCAGATAGTCCGCTGCCATTGAAGTAGCAATCAAGACTTCCTTGAGTTCCGTGTCACTGCAGACAGCTAAATCCGCCAGGAGATCTTGACCTCGGTACCTTCTTTTGTCTCCTTCCTCTTTGCCCAACATAGAGCTGCTGAATCTGAGGCCGCTGCTTTCTCCGTTAAGTTCTTGCTGATTCTCATCTTTTCCATACATTTAACAATCCTTCCTACTGATATTGCCCAGCGTGATGAATTGTAGTTCCCCTGGAGAACATCTGTTTGGAGCAGCCTCCATTAACCTAGTAAAAGTGATCATCTAGACGATTTTGGATACTGTCTGTCTTAATTTAGGACAAAAGCAAATAACATGCTATGACTTTGAGAAGTTTTGCTGTGCGGCAGAGGATTTTTTTCTGGGTAAGCCCATTTTCTCATCAAGGGTTTTTAGCTTGACTTTTTAAGTCACCGCTGTGTTAATGCTGCAGCCTGGGGAGACACATAGCATAGCCAAGGCCAGAGGCAGGACAGAGGGGAGGAGGGAAAAGTAAGGCCACTAATGCAATCACACTTACTTGTTGACTAGCAGGAAGTTCCCAATCAAGCTCAGGACCGAAGGCACAGTGGAAGCCACAGAAATGTAGCTTTCAAAGAAATTCTAGGAGGGGAAAGAAAAAAAAAAAGCAAGCATCAAAATAGAGTTTTAGAAACTGCGCTACAAAAGGGACAAGGACGTGAGTGACCCAATAAGGGTCACTCCGGAAGCTGATAAGGCATCAGTCTCCGGAGCTGGGGATTGTGGGTTGAAGCTCCTCTGGGTCATTCGTTGATCTTGTGCCATTTGTCCGGAATGATACAGGGCAGGGGTGTCAAACTCAAGACTCGGGGGCCAAATCCAGCCCATGGGGTGTTTAGATCTGGCCTGCAGTGCCTCTGCCAGCAAAAACAGAGCTTGACAGGGCCGCACCCAGGTCCTCCCGAGCTCCGTTTTTGCTGGCAGAGGGTTGCAGGAGGCCATCGCAGCTGAAAATGGAGCTCGGGAGCCCGTTTTCACTGGCAGAGCGCTCAGGCCACCACAGGCGCCCAACACGAGTGGCGTCAAGCTGGCCACGCCCACCCTGGCCACGCCCACTCCGTTCCCCCCAAGGTCAAACACAATCCTAATGCAGCCCTCAATGAAATCAAGTTTGACACTCCTGATATGTGGTCTTCTGATTCAGCAGGAGGTTGGATTAGAAGACCTCCATGGTCCCTTCCAAATCTGTTATTCTGTTATGACATCTCCATCACAAGCCAAAGTCACTGAGATCCTGGGACCCAAGATCACATTTTCATGGCATTTCGAAACTCACAAGGCTGTAGAAGTTGCACAACGATCAAACCACCAGCCTCTAGCTGAAAAGCGGGTGTGATACTTCCAGATAACTATTTATAGGCAGTTGGGTAGAATATCAATCATGTGAGTATCAATCATGTAGACAATCATGTCTACAACACAAATGAAAAAAAGAGAACTACTCACTCTCATGATCAGTAATGCACACTATGTGAATCCTAGCTTTGAGACTACAATGGCAATCTACAGATGGGGGAAAAAAATTCTGATAATGACCAGAGAAGCCTCATACATTGGGATTTGCTTGGAATAAACTTACATTTCCTCCCGGAGGTTCTGAAGCTGTATTCAGAACTATATTCTCCTACCGAATCAAACATCGAATCACAGACAGTGGTTAATGTGAATAATTCAATGCTTTAAGACTCTCAGAGGCAAACTTCCTCTTATTTACTGAGGAAATATGCAGTAATGTCTTTTGTTTTTGTGAATTTCATTACAGATGTGTCCACTTGATTATCATGAAGATTATATTGTGTTGAGGAGGGCATATAACCCTTCTCACTAAAGCCATGATATCCTTGAAAAAGTCCCCTTCTGTGGCCATTACCAGAAGGTAAAGCTACGTGGAGTGATTGAGATTGGGTGACCTAGAAATTGTATGTATGTATATATGTATGAATGAATGAATATCCCCTTCAAATTGAGCTCCACTCTTGATGATAATGGGGAGTCAACTTCCGATCTCCAATGGCTGCAAATTTCAATAACATTTGGGTTTTTTGTAACAGAAAAAGATGAAAGAAAAAGCAATAGATAGATTTCTCCAAACTTTGAATGCTACTTCAGAGATCAAGGACAATTGTTGTCAAACAACCAATTCTAATCTTACATGTAATACATACATACATACAAACATACATAAGAGAGAGAGAGAGAGATGATAGATAAATAATAGGGATAGAGATAGAAATAGAGATATAGTGTGTGTGTGTACGTGTGTTCATTATATGTGTCAGCTTTGGAAGCCATATCAGCCTCCGGAAGCTTCCACGCTGCCACCTTCTCGTGTGTGGTAAAGTAGGAGGGGGGATTTAGTGGAGGGAATGTATTTAGATAAAATAGCATTCTTCCTTTCGGTCAAGGTCAGGACAATCCTGCATCTGGAGAAGGAGTGGTTGGAGTCATGTCTCGAAATGGGACGAATGGTGATTGGAGAATGTGATTGACTGATGAGTGAGGAGATGGTTTGGGGTTTTTTTGATTTACTGAGGGAAAAACCCGGAATTCTCAGTTTTCCCAGATGTGCCAGTATACCTAGTCTAATAAATGGAACTTTGAGAAAATGCTTGCCTTGGAGTTTTTAATTGGAGTTGAGGTTTTCTGGAACGCTGACAATATGAATACAAGGGGATTAAATGCATTTAGTTAACATTATATTAAATTATTACTTAGTTTTTATCTGGTCTTTCTCATTTAGGGTTCCAGATATTCTCGACCAAGGCCTAGTAGTGGTCTTATCCAGAAAAAGATGATAACTCCCAACTTCCAGTGAGACAAGGCAAACGAATCCCCAAATTTTTCTCTATCCTGTGGATCGTGGGGGCAGTGCAGCCAAAAAAAAAAGGCAGATGGATGTGAGATTCAGACTGTCAAAATTCTCTCTGGAACAAAAAGAGATCTAGAGATTGACCGTATATACTCCAATCTGCTGGTTTTTTTGTGAATAGATTGCAGAATTGAAGTTTTTGCAGCCCCTTGGGGTCAGCTGGGAGTCAGGGGTTCTATTGTGCTCTGAGCCATAAATGCAGCTTTTCAGGGATTCAAGGTTTGACCAAACCTCATCTTTTTAATCCCTTTGGAACTTTACTTTTTTTTAATTGCCTTTTTAAGATTGAAAAAATTTCAGGACCCACAAGCCTACCAGACACTGTGTGAATTTCACTTCCAGCCTGTTTAAAAAGGAAGAAAATGATGTCTTTTCAGCTTTGTAAGATCTTCATTTTTTGCAATATTCAGCAAAGGGGTGACTTTAGAGTTGTTTCTGGAAAGATGTTAAATGACAGGGGTTTTGTGAAACTGATTTAAAGAAAGACTTTGAAAATTTTATCTGTTCAATATGATCTCTATGGTGATTCTCAGTCATCTAGGCCAGGGGTCTCCGACCTTGGCAACTTCTAAGACTTGTGGACTTCAACTCCCAGAATTCCTCAGCCAGCCAAGGTTGGAGACCCCTGATCTAAGGCCATGGTTGTCCCAAAGGTGCTTCCCCCCTGTCACTGCGTTATTTTATTTACCAGCTGAGCTCATCATTTCTGGACTATCAGACTTTCCGTACCTTGCCAAGAATCCTTATCAGTAAGCTACTACGCATGTCCATCCACCCACATTCCTTCACACTTTTTTCCTTTGTTCTCTTGCCACGGGTGCCGGTTGCTGAAAGGCAGCTGGCCCAAATTACTTCCAAAATGTAACAATTTACTTTTCTTAGTTAGTGAGGTGTTTTATTTTTCTTTATAACAAATAAATGAGTTTTATTAGAAACCTTCCTTTGCGTTTCTTTTTCGGAATATTTCAAACAAGGAGGAGCCACGATTCATCTCCTCTAATTAAACCAGGGTAATTAGTCCCAGAGCCAAACATGGGATTAATAAATGCCCTGACACCCCCCCCCCCCAAAAAAGCAACTGGACTTCCTTTGTTTTTGCTTGAAGACATTTTGCTTCTCATCTAGGAAGCTTCTTCAGTTCTGAAGAAATTCATTCAGAAGTTTTTTGAAAAACAAAAAGTCCCTTTGGTTCAATGTGATCTTTAATAAAATTATTGGGGGGAAAAGTTATGTACTCCTCTCATACAAATCAAACTGGTGGCTGCCAGTCACCATTTATAAGTCATTCAATTCTAGCACTACTAAGATAAGGCTGAACTTCAGCAAAACTATTCCGCTTATACCAACCATCATCGGTGGCAACATTCTGAAGCATGCTGAACATCTAGTTATAAAACATTTCCTTCTTTTTTAAAGCTAGGAATCTTTTTAAGGATTGGGGAATCATGCCTTTGGTGTCTTACAGATCAGTGTTTCTCAACCTTGGCAACTTTAAGATGTATGGACTTCAACTCCCAGCATAGCTGGTTGGGAAATGCTGAGAGCTGAAGTCCATATTTCTTAAAGTCATTAAGATTGAGAAACACTTTCACAGATCACTAACATCGGCACATTATGATTCAGACAGTTCAGGAAATACTTTTATGTCCCCTGACTTATTTATAGAATAGGAAGCCTAAACTGTCCAAAATCCTGTTGCTTAATTCCCCCAGATTTATTTAGTACAGGGGTATCAAACTCAAGGTCCGGGGGCTCGATCCGGCCCGCGAGGTGCTTAGATCTGACTCGCGAGGTCGCCCTGGAAACAGTGAAGGTCCGGCCCGCGATGCCTCTGCCAGTGAAAACGGAGCTTGGGAGCCCGTTTTCGCTAGCAAAGCATTCGGGCCACCATAGTTGCCCCCGACACAAGTGACGTCGAGCTGGTTATACCCCCCCATGTCCCCGCCCCCCGCCAAGGTCAAACACAACCCTGATGCAGCCCTGAATGAATTCGAGTTTGACACCCCTGATTTAGAAGAACAAGAACATGCAAAATCCTGATGTGTGGAAAAGTTTGCTCGGGAAAATTGCGGAGAAGCCGGCTCAGTCAGCTTTCCCTGAGAAAAAAAAAGCTCTCACATCCAACTCCACACTAATCAATGTAATCCAAGCTATTTTAAGGATACGGTGATGGAATGGCCTGTTAGTACCTCATTGCTTCTTCATCATCCAAACCAAATGGTATTTCTGTACAGGTACCGGACATTTAAGCGTTCCTATGTTTATGTTCCGCGAAAAGCAAATACTTGTTGGCTTCTGGGAAAAGACAGCCTTGTCCTGCCCAGATGTTTTGGCAAAGTAAAATTTTTAGTCAGCTTAAATTCAGCAGCAGAGGCATCTCTAGGCTCCTGCTGAGCTAAAAAAAAAAAAAAGGATCTGAAGCCCTGGGTGACGAAGCAAGCACCGGAGCGTTACCTGGATCACAGGGCATGAAATTAGCAGTGACAAGCAGGTTGGAGCCAGGAATACCTCACTGTTGCGAGCTTATCTGCAGATAGCCAAGTTCAGAATCCTACTTCTAATGACTCTGTGCAAGGCCCATGAACTCTTCCCCTCTCTGGTGCTGCCCAGCCAGCTCCAAACCAAGCTGAAAAGGTGGAGATTTTCACTGCTAGGAAAACCATCAGCTGCTGAAATTCACCATTAAGTTTGACCTGACTTTGAACTGGTCACC